GCATGGCACCATTACTTTGCCCTTTGTTTCTTCTTCTTCTTTGCAGATTGCAGATTTCTTTACCAAGTCGCATTTTATTTCCCGTTTTCGTTTTTTAGTTGGCAAACTCTCGATGCTTGTCGCTGCTGCATCATGAGTTTGAGGGGAGATGTTAAGAAATATAGGGTTATTTTGTTTATTAAGGGTAGAATAGTCATTTACTTTCCTTGCCTTATTTAACTTATATATAGTCTCTTTGTATTTAGGTTAAATTACTTCTTTGTATTTCAATTGAATTATGCAGTATCAATTAAACATTAACCTCCTCTTTTCTTATCNGGGGAGATGTTAAGAAATATAGGGTTATTTTGTTTATTAAGGGTAGAATAGTCATTTACTTTCCCTGCCTTATTTAGCTTATATATAGTCTCTTTGTATTTAGGTTAAATTATTTCCTTGTATTTCAATTGAATTATGCAGTATCAATTAAACCTTAACCTCCTCTTTTCTTATTTCTTGTATTTCTTTAGATTGTTCAACACTGGCTAGCTACAAGCCAGATTTGAAAACCCAAGACTGAATTTTTTATATAAACATGAGATTTAGGGGTTCTTTGCACTGTTTTTCTCAAGCTCATCTTACCAAGTTCCCCTGAACTCACTTACCAAACAACCCCTTAAGTTTTTAAGTGAATATGAATTCCAAACATTCATTTCAGCCTTGCATCACCAAGCTCTCCGGTCTCTTCAGACTTAGTTCATGCATTGACATTGTTAGACACATTATGTGCTTCTGTCAATAATGCTGCCATTTGATTCCACACTAAAGAAAAGAAGCAATTAACCCTTTCCATGATATAAAGACTAGTCCAGTTCAAAAGAAAGAAAGAAATAAAGACAAGTAGCAAGGTAACAAGCCTCGTTTAGTCACTTTCCATTAGATTAGAGATGTCTTGATTCAAGTCTTTGAACAAAGTTCTTCTAAAAACAAAAATGAGAAGGAGAAGATCTGCAAGACAATTCCAACAGTCCACATGATTTTAAGCTGGTGGAGACTGGGATAAATATCTTTCAATTCTTTCTGATGCCTGGAATGCTACGTGTAAACATGTCGACGCTATGTGTTAAATCGAAAAGGCCCAATCTTTGTCCTCCTAATGATTGACCGCCAAATTGTTAGGAAGCCTACCAATGATCTGACCTGAAAAACCTATCAACAACCACTCAGATTGACCCTTTAGTTCATGCATCGACAATTGTGATTGGAAATTACGTACCATGCAGATACATTGATGAAGTTTAAGAAAAGTCTTCAGGACATCAACGGGTCTCATCAAGGAGAAAAGGAGAAGAGAATGTATATGATTCTAAAACATCTATGTAAATATCAAACATTGCACATTACTAACTGATACAGTTTACATTGGCAATTAAAATTCAAAGATTTTATCGCCATTGGGATGATCGATATGTACAATATTCATTTGATGATTATATGTGTCAAACTTTCATGTACATGATAGCAAATACGNGTCTTTGAACAAAGTTCTTCTAAAAACAAAAATGAGAAGGAGAAGATCTGAGAGACATGTTGGTTTTTTTTTATGGAGTCTAATTTATATATGTGATCCGAATGATGACCCGACCCGAAGTAATATTGTGTAATTTTTAATGAAAAATTTTCTGAGGCTTAGTCCATGGAGCGAAGGAAAATTTTTTTGGGCCCGTTATACAGCCCAATGCGTAGGACATATAAACCCTGTTGTTTTGGTGATTAGAGTTAATCGTGGATTGTACAACCGCTCTCTGTATTCAACTCTCTCAATAGTGAAATCCCTGCAGTTTCGTGGACGTAGGCAAATTGCCGAACCACGTAAAATCTGTGTCTTGTTCTTTCTTGTTTTTTATTGCCTTATATTCTTGATTTGTTCTTCGATTGTATGTGTTTGTTAGTGAATTTAAATCGTGTAAAATTCCAACAAGACAATTCCAACAGTCCACATGATTTTAAGCTGGTGGAGACTGGGATAAATATCTTTCAATTCTTTCTGATGCCTGGAATGCTACGTGTAAACATGTCGACGCTATGTGTTAAATCAAAAAGGCCCAATCTTCGTCCTCCTAATGATTGACCGCCAAATTATTAGGAAGCCTACCAATGATCTGACCTGAAAAACCCATCGACAACTACTCAGATTGACCCTTTAGTTCATGCATCGACAATTGTGATTGGAAATTACGTACCATGCAGATACATTGATGAAGTTTAAGAAAAGTCTTCAGGACATCAACGGGTCTCATCAAGGAGAAAAGGAGAAGAGAATGTATATGATTCTAAAACATCTATGTAAATATCAAACATTGCACATTACTAACTGATACAGTTTACATTGGCAATTAAAATTCAAAGATTTTATCGCCATTGGGATGATCGATATGTACAATATTCATTTGATGATTATACGTGTCAAACTTTCATGTACATAGCAAATACTTTGTAAACCTTAAGGAATTACTCAACCCTTTCGCATAGCAATCTCTCCTGTCTACCCTTCTAAATCCATAGAGGTATATCATACTTATAATAGTCCCGTGTGATTTACAGAATTTACGACTCTTCCTAATTCTTTTATATTTTCTATGCCGTCACTTACNAAATCTCTGCAGCTTCGTGGACGTAGGCAAATTGCCGAACCACGTAAAATCTGTGTCTTGTTCTTTCTTGTTTTTTATTGCCTTATATTCTTGATTTGTTCTTCGATTGTATGTGTTTGTTAGTGAATTTAAATCGTGTAAAATTCCAACAAGACAATTCCAACAGTCCACATGATTTTAAGCTGGTGGAGACTGGGATAAATATCTTTCAATTCTTTCTGATGCCTGGAATGCTACGTGTAAACATGTCGACGCTATGTGTTAAATCAAAAAGGCCCAATCTTCGTCCTCCTAATGATTGACCGCCAAATTATTAGGAAGCCTACCAATGATCTGACCTGAAAAACCCATCGACAACTNGTTTTTTTTTTTTTTCAACAGTTAGAATGTTTGGGTAAACTTACGTGCATCTTAATTAATTATCTCTCCAGTTTGATCAACGGCAGATCATCTACGTCGAAATTAAAGTATTTATGACCTAACTCCAAAGGGGTCGCTAGGGTTTGAACTCAACACGTTTAAATTTATGACTTATCTTTATTACCACTTAAGTTACTATTAGGGTTTCAGAGCTCATGGTTTAAGTGTCTCTTCTCCTCTTTTTTTTTTTTTTTTTTTTTTTTTTTTTTTTTTTTTTTGGGNTTTTTATTTTTTTTTTTTTTTTTTTTTTTTTTTTTTTTTTTTTTTTTTTTTTTTTTTTTTTTTTTTTTTTTTTTTCTGTTAGGTGAGCTTGTGTATTCGGCGGGCAGTTAGGGGTGGTTCGGAAACGTGAACTAAGAATCATGTGGTTTCCTAAAATTTTTAGTAGGTTTAAGAGAATGATTTGATTTCACTGAATGAGAATTCAAAACAAATATATTACTTATTATATATATACAAATAAACTAATCTGTCAGAGTGATCTACCCAATCCTAATAAAACTGTATCAGATACAAACTGAAAATCTCCAATATATTCGTGTTGAACCGCAGGGGGCCGCACCCCCAACCTATTGTTCAACCCTGACAAACAACCATAGTCTCCTGATGGAAAGTTGTTGTTGCTTCACTCCTCTCCCTAAAGTTGCACTTTAAAAACAACTCTATTAAATTTTTGAGCTTGGTAAATATGAAGTCATTACTTAAACATTGAATGACAGCAGTGGGGTAATCGATATGTATTTATTCTTAGGTACAATCAAATCGTAAGGAGAGGGTATTCTCTCCATTTACTCTCCCATTTTAATTTACTAAGTACAAAAACAAAGTTACAATCAATCAAATTCTTCCAATTTGTGCGTATATATTAACACTCCTGGAACATTTCATCTCCTTCAACTTCCAATTCCTCCCTCTTCTCTTCTTTCTCTGATTTTCTCGCTAATGGTAGACAAACTAATCGGGTTGTGGACGCAGCATGGGATGTAAATTTCGTACGTGTCACGAGTCTAGACTCAATTGGATAAATGCAAGTAGAGGCATATGACCAACATAGTTGGTTTGTAAGAACTAGAGTATATATATTTTCAAACATGGTAGAAACATAATGCAGAGAGTTATCTGTAGAGACCAGTGCATCCAACATATACGTATTTTTATATGCAATTTGGAACACTTTTTGCTGCAATGAACTCTGGGGTATGGTACCTTAAATTAAATCATGCAGTAGCGATAATAATGTCCTTTTTTCCTGTACACAAGGCACATGCATGCCCTTAAATTCTCGTCCTCTGTCAATTCTACGTGTTGACGTGGGACTGAGACTGAACATGTGACCTGGATTCTCTCAAATTCTGCCATGTATGTGCTTGCCGACATGGATTCAGATATTCATGAGATGCTAATACGGATTTTACAATTGGGTCCCGTATTAATCATGTGCCTTGTTCTTCAGATTTCGACAGAGAGAAGAGAGAGAGAGATAAGGGAGGGAAAGACTTGGAAGAATGAGAACCAAATGAAATGGGTGTAAATGAATTAAGTTGTGATAATGTGGTAGACCTGGTTGAATATAAACCAGTGGCTTGATAGGTTGAACCCACTTTCTCTCTCTCTCTCTCACACACACACACACACAGAGACACGCACACTCTCACAAACACAACACACATGGCTACCAAACCGTAGAGCAAATTTGGAAGTCTTCATTTCACTCCATTATGGCTACAGTACACCTTTTGCCTAAAATGGTAAATAAACATCCATGAACACTAGTGTATTTTTCTCTGATAGCATTATGAGACGCGTGTTCGTCTCCTAAACATATATTTCCAATGGTCACTGCTTTTCATTTATTCAAGATGGAATGATTGGTAATTCTCCTTCACTATATAACAATATCTATATCTCCAATCCTTGGAGACTATACTCTCTCTCTCTCTCTCTACATTCTATTCTTCTTTCACGTAAGCGCTAAACAGTGTAATGTCTCTAATCTGGTATATATTTTCTATTCTAATATTCTGCATCACAACTACTCTTTGTTGTTATTGGCTCATATATCTGAAGCCCTGCATGTAGGAGTTTCTCTATGCCTCCTTAGAACTTTTATTGGCCTAGACATTTTATGTATCATTTCTCGATTTCTACATGTCATCCGTCTATGGGTATATCCTAATCTTTTTCAGTTTTATCGGATATCCCAGAGGCACAAATTGTTATCATTCATTTACTTTTTCCTTCCTCTTGGTTTCAAAAAGGAAAGTACACATATATATACTAGTAGACGTCAAGAAGATGAGGTCTTCTTGCATTGCCAGGCAAGTAACTATATCTTGCTGCTTCTAATCATTTTTAAGCTGAGGAATAAGCTCATGAACCAACCCTAATGCATTCTACACTTATATGAAAACCTTGTATAATTTTTCTATTTCCAACAATGCAGGATTGATACATATCTGACTATTGCGGTGAAGCTCCAAGACCTAAGCTGTTTGAGGGGAGCAATGGTGGAGTCTGATAACATTTCGGCTCACCTAAACAAGGTAAGAGAAATAAAAAGAAAAATAATAAATTGATCGAAAAATGTATGTTGTTTTAATGGTTCTAAACAGTTGAGTTCATGCATCTTATGCCCTCCTAGAGATGGGGCCTCCAAAGATTGCCTAATTGTGGCATGAATGTTGATTTTCGCTTTCTGGGTTTCTGTTCATTTAATACATATAATTTGTAATTTCAACAATATTCTAAGCAGTTTTTACCTTTTTTCCCATGCTTTGATTTGGTTTTATTTATTTATTTGGGGCTTGTTTTATTCTGCTACTAAAAATGTGACAAATTCAAAACAAATCTAAAGCAGATATGCAGATTTCAGATTTTTCTGGTAAACAAATGCTGTTCTTATATACACCCACACCCACACCCACACCCACACTGACACAGACACCCCCCTATATGTACTGTCTTACCTCATTATCAATTTTCCTCATATTCAAAAGAAAATCTTATATGTAAGATATTTTTGACCATTGTACCACCACCAGTTTGACTAGTAAAAACTTTACAAAAATTAAGTTAAGTAGCAAAACAGTGGGCGTGGGGGGTGAACTAAAAGAGGGTATATATATATATATATCTGTGTGTGTGTGTGTGTATGCGTTTAAATGACGTGGTAGATCCAAGGACTTCATAAGATTAAAGATAACAAGTCTAAGTCAGAAAAATAGTAAACATTTTTAGTTCCTTGGTGAGTCTTCATGGTTACCAGATAAGCTTTTACTTGGTGAGTTTGATGACCTGGCTCTTGTCACCAGTCTAAATTGGAAGCTGGTCAACAAGAAAATCAATCTTCAAAATTGACTAAAGAAAGAGACAACTGAAAAAGTCACCAAATTTTACAGAGCACAGCTCAGCTGATATGATCAGCATCCAGATCATATTTGGCTCCACGAAGGCAGGAACCAGGAAGGCCAAAAAAGCAATGTTATAACTTACATGATCCCCAATATATATATATATATATATATATATATATATATATATAAACTATTTTTCTAGATATTATTCATCGTGGTTTTTTTATTTTCTAATCTTTTGTGTTAAAAATATATTTTTGATACATGATATGAACCCAAAAGGTTGGTTTAGTGACATGTCCTCCTTATAAAAAGAGGTCACATGATCAAATTTTACCTACTCGATCATTTGGTCATCCCTTAAGATTTATCCAAATAATTACATGGTGTATATGAAAGGATTGTTGTGACGGAAAGAATTAAAAGCTTTAAGAGACACAAATACCTCCGGATTAAAAAAAAAAATCATGGCCTGAAGTGGGAAGACGATGATCAAAATATGTTTTGTGTCTTCCAAAACTATGCATTGTTGTTCATGTTTAAGATGCGTACTTTGATGCACTACATATTTTCAATGGTTCTTCTTACTAAGCCAATCATTAGCTAGTTGGGTCCCTAAAGACTTCTATTGATTAATCAGGCCAGTGGCCAAGGATCTCTCTCTCTCTCTCTCTCTCTCTCTCTCTCTCTCTCTCTTCAACTATCCATCGATCCATCGATAAAAGACATGTAAATGCCTTTACCCTCAAAGACCAAACGTTGAGAAGAGGACAGCAATGCATCAAGACCATCACCCTTTCCTCGACGAAGAAATAACAACATAACAAAACATGTTTTTTCATTCTCTTCTTCTTGTCATCAGCCATCTCAAAGCCCCCAAATCAGCTTTTCTTAAAGCCCCTTCCTTTAAAGCTTATTTTGTCTGCAAGTTAATTTGGACATCTTGTTAGCAAGGTACACAATGTCTTTCCTTATTCCTAATTGCTCCAAGGTGTTTTTTACAATTTTCCAGGTGAAAGGTTTGTGCCAAACCTTGCCCTTAAATAACAACCGCCAAACAAAAGAAATAAATGGAATTTGGTTAGTCTCTAACCTTATTCTAATCTTGTTTTCCAGCCTCTAAACATGGAATCACCTGACCCACCATTTCAAGAGACATATAAAACCCTCTTCGACTACTCCACCGGGGCAGCGACAAAGAATGAAAACGGGCTTGTCATCGTTGAAGAATGCGATCTTCCATTGATCGATCTTGGCAAGCTAAAACTTGGAGAATCGGAGAAGGAAGAGTGCAAAAGAGAGATAGCAAAGGCTTCCCAAGAGTGGGGTTTCTTTCAAGTGGTGAACCATGGAATTTCGAATGAGATTCTTGAGAAGATGAGATGTGAACAAGTCAAGGTATTCAAAAGGCCATTTCATGAGAAGATAAACGAGTCGAGTTTGAGTTTTTCAGCTGGTAGTTACCGTTGGGGAACACCTTCAGCTACTTGCCTGAGACAGTTATCTTGGTCAGAAGCTTTTCATGTTCCCTTGGCCGATGTCTCGCATTTTGGAGGTCTCACCATTCTCAGGTACTTGCAAATTTTTTTATTTTCTACGTTTGCTCTGTTTTTCTCTCATGTTGTTTTAAACAGGGAGTTTGAGATTAAACTAGAAAGACAAAGGTATCTTGAAACCTTAGCCGACGTCACCAATGGATCAATTTTAAAATAGTAGTAAGTATTCAATATAATTGTGATACCATCTCGTCATCGGCAAGGAGATAACATCAAAACACAGAAAAATAGGCTGGTAAAATCCACCTATGTACAGTTAGTGAATTATGGTTGATGTGATAGCATGGTTCACTATGCCCATTACTAATGTTACTAAATGGTGATATCAGTATAAATGATTACGCGACTGAATATTTACTTGTAAACTGTGGAGCATGTAGATATTCTTTCCTTTTTTTGTTACAAAGATTAGGTAATCTATAGAACAATGCCCCTTAATAGGACTGAATTGTAAGCCTTGTCTTGTACAACAAACACTCTTGTAAATAAGCATGACAATGAAGACAGTGTCGACTTGGGTATATATTTTTATGACATTAATCCTATTGGAATAGAAGTCTACGGAATACGACTAGCTAATTTTCAAAATCTAACCCTAATACAATCTGTGTATTACTCATTTGGTAAACAAGTTGTGTCTACATGAACTTTTGTTTTAGGGGTCAATATGCATGTCAAAAAGAATAAAAAATTTAAAAAGCAACAGATAAAATACTAAGACAAATAGATATTATATGCCCACATATATAAAAGTTTAAATTTATGAAAGTCTAATATTATTTGAACTTAAAAATTTAACATAATTTGATGATCTAATTTCATTAGAATCATTAGATCAACATTAAGTTTCAACGTTTAATAAGACCTATTTAATCCAAATGTAATAGTAAATTAAGTCAATAAATTATGTTAGTAAATTAATTTTTATTGACCTTGCTCGTTTTTTTATGAAAGCACTTCCAATGGAATAGGAATATATATCTTGGGCACATGTCAGCCTCTAATTTTCCTTTTCCTTGATTGGTGGAAAATAGAAGGTTATCCAAAACATCCACTTGGTGATTTGAGGTTTTTCAGCATTCCCAAAAAGGCGACCAAGATATCAGGATTGTCAATGGATTAGAAAAGAAATGACAGCCAATAGTTCCATTGATGGTCCAAATCAATTTGATATCTCCCACTTCTTGATGTATATATGGAGCTTTCGCGACAAAGCACAGTCCAATATTCTGCTATTGGTTAACTCATCCATCGATTACCTAATTGATTCTACACTTAGATATCGAAATGCTACCATTGCCGACAAATCTAGAGCTTCTAGCATTGCCGACACAGATAGCAGTAGGACAACATATTTTGAAAGCGATATCGGGTTTTAGCTTATTTCAGAGTGATATCAAGATTTGAGCACATAATATTTTACCCTAATATCATATTAAACCAGAGTCTACATTAGAAATTCAAATAATTAGAGAAAATGTAACTTAAGAATTTATATTTCAATAATATTCCGGGTACATCATTTCATCTCATGCATGGAGACTTCATACACGAACCAACCTTGTTAAGGCTAAACCGGTGACTGATGTTTTCCTTATTCAGCTCAACAATGGAACAGTTTGCGACAACAGTTTCCGACCTAGCGCGTAAGTTAGCAGATATCTTGGCCGAGAAAATGGGTCATCCGTCAGCTTTCTTCAGAGAAAATTGTTTGCCAAGTACTTGCTATCTTCGAATGAATCGATATCTGCCATGTCAGATAGCTTCAGAGGTGCTGGGCCTGATGCCACACACGGATAGTGACTTCCTTACTATACTGCATCAAGACCAGATTGGAGGGTTGCAATTAGTGAAGGACGATAAATGGATTGCAGTTAAACCTAATCCTGAAGCTCTAATTATCAATATCGGAGACTTATTTCAGGTATAATTATTTGTTTTTGCTACACAGTTGCCATTGTTGAACTTGTTTCTTTCAAATGTACTTAGGTAGACCTCACATTACGCCTTCATCTCAGAGTTTAGGGCTGGTAATTCTTAACATGATCCGTCAACCCGATACAAAACTAACACAACGTTTAGTCTTGATGGATTTAAGTCATAGATGGGTCGACACATTAACCTGTTTAATAGTGGGTCGATAAGAATCTTACAAAATGTGACTTACTTATAGGACTTAAAAGCATAACACACCATGATACCATGATACATATAATCTTTTGATTTACTATTGAAAATTTCTCATGTATGACTGCTTTCATATTGCAGGCATGGAGCAATGGTGTTTATCGGAGCGTCGAACACCGGGTCGTGACGAATAAGCAAGCGGAGAGGTTCTCTACTGCATATTTCTTATGTCCATCTTATGACACTGTGATTGAGAGTTGCATTAAGCCATCTATCTACAAAAGGTTTAGTTTTAGAGAATTTAGGCAAAAGGTCCAAGAAGATGTCAAAACATTAGGCCACAAAGTAGGTCTTCCAAGGTTTCTTGTATGAAGACAGTGTATATGAACTTCAATTTTCCAACAAGGAAATTAAATTAGCTTTTGCCAAAGGCGAAAAAAATGGTATATAATAATATAGTTCATTTATAAATTGTTGATGTCATCTTTTTTCTTCTTTTTTTTTCTTTTTGGTTTGAAATTAATTGTGATTTATAAATCGTATAATAACTTGGACAACCATCATCGACCCTCTAATTTTGCTAAGAGATTTACAGAAAACAATATATTTTTTTATATTAACAGCGACGAGTTTCTAAATGACTTACTCATTCTCTCCTTCTTAAGATGTCATTTTGGAGATTCACCAACTTTTTTACAGCTTTGTTGATCCAAGAAAACAACATAGTCGTTATCGACAACAGTTCCAGTTCTTCAAATGCACATATTTTTTATGTTCTATGACAAATTAATTTTTTTTTTTTTTGGGAACTGTAATAGGCTGGTTGGATAACACCCTCACTAGAATAATAGTGGACAAAGAAAAAACGTGAATTCGCCTAAATTCATCCCATTTGAATTAAAGATGGATCATACATATTGAATGATAGACATATATGAGAATACCTACATAAACCCGTGCGGGGATAGAAGCAGGGATGTACTAAAACTTATTTCTGCCCCGCCTTTGCCCCATCGATATATATATATATATATATATATATATATATATATATAATATTACAAACCGCACAATGCACATACTCACACTCTTCTCTTTACAAAAAAAAAAAAAATACTTTACTTTCTCTCTTTTTTTGATCCATTTGTTATATAATGGGGATGAGGATTAAAATTTCCCTCACTAACGATTATAGATCAGAGGTGGATAATTTTTTTTGAAAAAGGTATATGAAGGTGGAGACTATTTCCCTTGCTCCGCCCCCGCCCTGGTCTACTGTTATCCCTAACCGTCACAATAATAAGGCCCATGGCCTAGCCATCTAGTTTTAATCAAACATTTAGTGGATTGCCCATCTTCTTTTATGCTTGACCTCAATGTATTTTTCTTTTTATTTGGTTCACTATGAGTAATGTATGAGCCAACTTATACCCATTTTGACTAATTTTCTTCACAGCCTAGTGAAAAGACAAACCATCCACCTCGGGACTTTGGTATTCATAAAGAATAAATCTCTGTTACGAATTGAATTATTCCTGAGGGTTGCATGAACTTAATATTAGACAATTTAATCAATATACTCGCCATTAATAAAATAACTCTACTAATTTACACTTACCCCTCTCTTCTCTCTATCTCTCTCTTATTCTCTTTGATCATTTTAATTTTAAATTACATAAGGAAAAAAAATTATTATTTAAAAAATATAAATGTTGCCCAAAAGTGAAGTTTATCTTATTCATTTATAAGTTTATTATTAAATGATAAGGCATATAAATGATATTATACAATATATTTGCTCCTTAACTGACCTGTCACTTATTGAGCTATCCATGAATAGATGTCCAATGGGCCTCGGTCCAATCTACAGTGTACTGGCTATGCAAGCCCTATTATAAACAACTGAAACAACCTTTATCAGTAATAACTTGACTGTTAAAATTTAATTTTTTTATGATTAATAATTATTTTTTAGAGTTAATAATAATTTTTAATTATAATTGAACTATTTAAAATTTTGGATAAATTATATTCAAACTCTCAAAAATTTTCACTTAATTACAAAGACATTCTCAAATTTCAAATATTACACTCAAACCTCCTTATTATGATTCAATAACACAACTAACGAAATAATCTCTTTATTTATTTTTAAATATTATACTTGATAGTGCTTGGAATTTATGGCTGACGCCAAACTATGAAGGGATGATGTTTTGAGTAGGTTTTGTAGATTATGGATTAAGTTTTCGTGATCAGCTAGACGGGGATATAAGTGATTCACTTTAGTCGATGGACTAAGGCTACGCCCATTATCAATAGAATCTCTTGCTCGCTAGGTTTGCATATTAATTGATCGGAGGTGCGCCCCCTAAAACTGGGGACCCAAAATCCTCTTACAAAGGATGAGTGTCTAACTATTCTCTCTTTGTTCTTTCTTTCTTTAGGCTCTTGAATGTTTTCTGGTTCAGGAAGATTCAGCTCCTTCTTGTCAGGTTATCATTCTCTATTTATATTAGAGTCTCTCTTAGAGTCTTTAGTTGTCCTTCATTTAGTATTGATCCTTCTAGTCCTTTTCTCTACCCCTTCTTATTTTTTCTGTCACCACAATCACTGTTCATCCCGTGTTCCTGTTCATTAAGCGCTGTCGTTGCCACGATCTCTGATAGCTTGGTGCTCCACCTTCTCTGAAATTGTTGTAGGTGTCAGGAAGCGATTCAGAAGTAACTTTGGACTGGATTTTCAATCTTTGAACCATACTAAGATTTGGACTAGGCCTAAATTGTTGGGTTACAGGCCGTCTGTCGATGCTAAATTTTCCTTCTTTGCTCCAGACCTCTTGGACTAATCAGGCTTCTGGGCCCTCAAAGTCCTAGCCTTGAGTTTCGTACTGATCTCGATAACTTAGACATCCTCTAATTTCTTTATTTTATTGTTTTGCCGAGCATATACTTTGTTTATAAACTTGCAGTTTCACTTGCCTTTGAGTGAAGTTTAAAATAATAATAACAATAATAATAAGGAAGAATTATATCTAGACTTTATGAGGTTTGTCACTTAGTCACTTTGATTCTTGACATTTGAAATATTACACACAGATCTTCTGAGGTTTATGCACACGTAACACTAAACCCCTTGAAATTTATAGGTATATAATACTTATATTCTTGAGTTTAAAATATTATATTTAGACAAAAAATTAAAAATAAAATATCAAATATTTTAAATTTTATAACCAAATTCATATTCTATTGTATCATTTATTGAAATAAAATTAAAAATAAAAATTTAATTTTTTTAAAAAAAAATCATAATAAGTATACAATTATATTGTTTATTGAAATTTAGTTTGAACGACCAAATTAAAATAATAAACTATTTCAATTAAAACTAAAAGATATTGTATCAATTACAAATTGACCATTTGTTTAATTTTAATAGATAATATAATTATATACTAACTATGCTTTTTTTTTTAAAAAAAATTAGATTTTTATTTTAATTAATAAAATAATAGAACATGAATTTTTGATGTAAAATTCATATTCTACTAGGAATGACTTAAACCACTTGTTTAATTTTTTAATTTTTTTAATTGTATACTAATTATGATTTTTATTGAAGAAATTAAATTTTTAATTTTAATTTTATTTTAATAAATAATATAATAGAACATGAATTTTAGTTGTAAAATTTAAAATATTTGATATTCTATATTTAGTTGGAGTATTTTTGATCTAAGTATAAAATTTTAAATTTAAAGAGTTTAAATATTATATACTTATAAATTTTAAGGAGTCTAAGTATAATTTATTAACAGATATATTTATAATAGGTTCTACATGCGTACAAATTTTAGGGGATTTCTATATAATATTTCAAATAGTAAAAAATTTGAATGGTTAAGTGATAAATTTTAATACGTTGATATAATAATAATAATAATAATAATAAGAAAAAGAAAAAGAAAAAGAAAAAGAAGAAGAAGTAAGAAGGACTCATTTCAACACTTTAGTTTCCTCCCCAAACAATAAACAATAAAATTTATTTTTCTCTGAGACAAAAAAAATGGCGTCTTCAACCTTAAGCCTCTCGGACCTCGTCCCAACATCCACCTCCTCAATCCCCAACCCTAAAACCATACCTGCAACTCCCTCCTCTGTCACCACCAACCCAACACTCAGATCCACCTCCGAACCTAGCACCGAGCCACAGACTCGGAAACTGAAGTCAAGCACACAGCTCACCCGCTGGTCCAGAGCTCGAGCCATACGGTCCGGCCGGAAATTGGAGCGTCCGGTTCATCGAACTACACAGACCATTGAAATGAAGCCTCCGGTGAGTATGGACGAGGGTGACGCCACTCTCACTCTTCCTGTGATTGGAAACGGGAGAGAGGATGACGTGGAAGTGGCCGGAGGGAAGTCAGTATATATGGTGTCTGACGGTACTGGGTGGACGGTGGAGCACTCCGTTAACGCGGCGTTAGGGCAATTCGAGCACTGCTTGGTTGATCGGGTTTGTCCTGTAAATACCCATTTGTTCTCTGGGGTGAGTTTATCTTCTAATTTGCTTGTTAACTTATAGTGGTTTTGTGGGTCTTATGTATTTACAGTGTTATCAGGGTGAAATTATTATTTGATTTTTTCATTCTAATTTGTTTCCCATTTTTCAGCAATAGTTGTGAGAGTATACAATTGCATGATGGATAATATAATGTATGATGATATTGGCACTTTGAAAAAACTTGGGCAGTTAAAAAGGTGGTAAATTTGTTTAGTTTTTGTTGTCCAATGAGAAAAATAGCGTACCTATTCTGTGAATTTGTATAACATTACTCGTCCCAAAAACAGAAATGGAGTGTGAAATAAATTTTGGGGGTGCTAGTTGACGAGTATGAGCATTTAATGCATATGCTGGATAAATCTGAGATCTTTGGATCAAGTTTTGTTAGACCGAATCTCCATCATTTGCTTAAAAATGCTAGCTGATGAGGGCTTATTGGTTTGTTTGGGGGTTAGGTATGGTCAAGCTCGATTTTGACTGGTGTTAGCTTGAGAGCGGGAAATTCTCTAATGTTAGTGTTGCAACCATGTAATGAGGTGTCCTGGTGGCACCAATCTGGGGTAGGATTGATGCTTATGTAGTACACCCTGGTGCCATTGATTGGAAGTGCGCCTCATGCTGCCAGCCTGTTTGCAAATTATGGACTACCAGTCTGACGACATAAACTCAGAAGCTACACTAGTGTTAAGTGCTAAGTTGTAGCACAGTGCTAGAAACCTTTTTTTTTTTAAATCAATATATATATATATATATATATTTTTTGGGAGAGGAGGGGAGGAGGACTTGAACTCTGGACCTCGTATTATAGATTCGTGATCTAAGATTTATTATTTTTTGATTAATCTTAAGGGTATGTGCATATGAAAATTGGTGATGCAAAACCTTTGGTTTTTTTGGCTTTTATAACAAGCCATCCAACTTTTTTTCTCCCGTTCCTGCATGGAAATGGTTTCCGGTTTCATCCACTTGTTCCATCATCTCAACTTGCGTGATTGTGGCAACCCCTGGTGTGCTTGTTGGCATATGTATATGTACTAGCATGAGATGATGGAATTTTTAATGAGTGTTCCAATCATCATGTTTCTTTTGAATGTTAGCATACTTTGTAATCTAATGCACTACATACGATTCATATTGTGGTTGACTGATTTCTATTGTTTTTTTATTAGTTAAATAAAATTGAATTTTATTGAAAGGCAGAATTTGGCTCTTACCAAAAAAAAGGGGGGGGGGGAGGCAAAACTAAAAATTGCAAAAACAATAGACTTATACTTGGATCACTAATGATTTGACACAAACTAGCTAAATGATACCAGCTCATCAATTAAATTCACTGATTTCTGTTGTTATCATTACAAGGAGACATCATGATTTTTATCAGTTTATAGAAGCTCCCAGTTCTGCTTGTTAGATTCTTAGCTTTCCATCTCTATTGGGACATGCAATAGTTTGGGAGGCTTTTCTTTCCTGTCGTCCAAGTGGAGGTTGATGTTGGTGTCTAGTTTCAACCTTACTGGGGCATTTGGAATTTGAGGAGATGAAGACTCTTAGTATTGAGTAACTTAGAATGTATTTTGTTTCATGCATTGGTATTCTAATTGGCTTAATCTTCATCTCTAAACATTCTATGTTGATACAATCCTGACTTATTTGATTAGGTACGGCGTAGTACCTATTCTCTTTTTCTGCAAGAAGGTGGAATGAAACCATATGGTTTAGTGGTTTAAACCAAGAGAGAGTGTCATATAATGAGCACTCTGATCTTTTGTTTTTTACACCTTGAGTTCTAGTGAAAATTAATCAGTTGTCCAATTGTGTAGTATCTTATGGAATAGATTCCTGTGACGTGAACTACTTGAGTGCTTTTTATTAGGATTTTGTGTTAAATAAAATTTTTCAATGCATTTTATGATTGCGCTAGAATATCTTGACTTGTACTTATTGTGCTGCATCTTCTGCGACTGACCAGATTGTTGACATGGAGCCGTTGATGGAGATTATAAAGCAAGCAGCCAAAGAAGGGGCATTGCTGGCCTATACTCTAGCTGACCCTTCCATGGCTGAATCTGCCAAACAAGCATGCAAGCTGTGGGGTGTATCATCCACAGACATACTGGGCCCAATAACAGAGGCAATTGCTACCCATCTAGGCGTCTCCCCATCTGGCCTTCCTCGCTGGGCTCCAGAGAGGACATACTCTCTTGACGAGGAATACTTCCAAAGAATTGAAGCTATTGAATTTACAATCAAGCAAGATGATGGAGCCTTACCCAAAAACTTACACCAGGCCGACATTATTCTTGCTGGTGTTTCTCGCACTGGGAAAACTCCTCTATCTATTTATTTGGCACAGAAAGGATACAAAGTGGCTAATGTGCCAATTGTAATGGGTGTAAAGTTACCAAAGACTCTCTTTGAGGTGGACCCAGAGAAAGTTTTCGGTTTGACTATAAATCATGTTGTCCTCCAAACAATCAGAAGAGCAAGAGCAAAGAGCTTGGGCTTTGGTGAAGATGTGAAGAGTAACTATTCAGAGATGGATAATGTGAAAGAGGAGTTGGACTTCGCTGGTAGGGTTTTTGCTCAAAATCCTGTCTGGCCCGTAATTGGTGAGTATATACAACTTTCATACACTATTTTCGTGCAGTTTCTATTTTCATGTATCGCTTTAATCCTAAACATAAGGATGTGAAGCAATAATAGGAGCTTACTACTGATGTGGCCTTTGTGGCTTTCTGTTGTTGCAGAAGTGACAGGTAAAGCAATTGAAGAAACAGCGGCAATTGTACTGAGGCTTTACCATGACCGAAAGAACAGGTGCTCAATGCCAAGAATTTCAAAACGCTACTAGATAGGGAAAATTTGTCTTCAAGCACTCTTGTATGAGGTGTAAGGTTTATAAAGGAAAGACAATCTCCAGGTGAACCAAGGTTGTAGCATACGAATATGAGAGTTATAATACAAGGGAACATGCTGTATATTTGTAAAATACCAATATAAATTGTAATAAAATACTAATGCTCCATTTCCTGATCATTTTACATGCAGAAGGGCTGACTTTTCTTTTTGTTGTTACTGTAAATTATGCATTTTTTTTTGGGAGAGTGGGGGTGGGGGGGAAAACTCAATAGTGATACTTGCATTTACTTGACTGAGCAATTTTTGGCATTAAATTTCCAATCTATGCTAAAGTATGAGAGTGCATGAGATGAAATATTACCAGATATGGAAAGGTGACCAAAAAACATGAAGAACTATTCAACCAAGTGCTTTAGGTAATTGCATATCCAAACTTATATTATTAATGTTGTTCAGTATAGTGAATGTTTATAATTTTATTAGTGTTGTTTGACTAGTATTACATTGGTTCTCATGTATAAGGTTTCAGAATATCAACTTGTCAATTAGAGATACATCAAAATCTTCATGTTTTGGCACTTTGGAATTAGTATATCTGGGAAATGTTACTCTTACATACAATCAGACACCTGTATAGATATGCAAATGTAGTTACTTGCCCTTGACATTTCAATTAAGCTTAAAATGAGCAATGTTTTCTATGAAGCATGATTGGACTTCCCATAAATGGAGGTTCAACTGTGGCTGCATAACATGAAGCTCCATTTATGCAAAAGATTTGTGGGAGCATAAAATGCGTATTGTTTGCGTAGCTATATTATTTTAGTTGTTACCGGAATGTAAAATGCATCTTACATACATCCCCAACCTTGCTTGGGGTGCAAACTTAGATATTGAGATTTGACTAGAATAGTCAATGTGGGAGAACTTTCATTACCTTGATTTCCCAAAACACCATAGCTGTTGAGGTGTGGACATAGGCACTGTGCTGAATCTCATAGGTATGTGTTTCTGTTGTTGATTTAATTTTTCCTGCTTTTTGATTTGGTCCTGTTTTATTTATTTGCATATTGAGAGAACTATTTGAACACCACTCTTGTTTAAATAGTGTATTGATTTATGATCGATGCAAACATTACTTACGGATGTTAGAAATAGGGTGTATGCTACTCTGCTTTTGGTGTGCCCAATTTGAGAATCACTTATTCTGAGGATATAAGGGTTGAGCAACACCAATATAAGCATTTGTCTGAATGAATTCCTCTGCTACCATGAAACTCTATTTTTGGTACTCTTTCAAGTTTTTTGTGGCTGTGCGCTTTTCTGTTCTTTCTTGTGTGAATCATGAAACGAAAAAATGTGAGTGAGCATAAAGTGGTAGACACATTGTTGGAAGCGTAACTTCATGCTTCATGGCTCCTACAGATAACTAGAAAATGGTTTAACTTGATAAATATATTTTGGATATGGTTGTTCTCCATACTAGCCCATAAGCTTTGCAAGTCTTTAACAAGTCACCAAATCGTACATTGAATTGTGAATGTTCTGATATCTCCACTTTAGTATGGACTTTCTTTTTTATGCATCCTCTTCTAACATGTCTCGGTGTTTCCAAACCAAGGAATATTTCATGAGCAGGAAAAGCTTCATGTGTGCGCACAAGCGTGGATACTTTAATGTCTAATGTCTGTAGAATAATTTGTGGTGCTTTGCTGCCTAATCACATGAAAGCCGCATACAACAAAAAGGGAAGTTGATATTGGACTGTATAAAGAACAAACAGGGTTTAAAGTATGTGGAAAAGAAAAGGAAGATGGAACACAGCAAAAGTAACTTTCTGGCCCTCCATTAAACTTGTGCAGTGATATAAATTTAAGGTACACTAATCATGTGTTTTGATATCTTACTTTCATATAAAATAGAAGATTCCTTATCTTTGTCATAGGCTTTCTGTCCTTGTCTTCATCTCGAAGATTATGTAGAATAAGGTGGCCTGAAGAAAAATTGAAACTGCAGAGCTTGAATCCCCTGCTACTGGAAGTTCTATAATCTGCTTCTTTCTCAATGTCACACGATAAACTTCTTTTCTTTGATCATTTTTCTACCCTACCCTTTTACTGGAAGAATGTTGTCAAGTTATATTTCTGTGTATCATACTCATTTTATCTATGTTACATGGGCTTAGATGTGCTAGGATAGGACCATGATTGTTTTGTGAACTTGTTTCTTGTTGCCTCGTCGTGTTATCAATCGAGAGCATTGTCATCCCCACCGATTTTGCCCATGGAAAGTGTGAAGTAGATTAGTAATATTGTTCCCACGCTGGACCTGTAACAAATTGGAAGAAAATCAGAATGACTCATTAGACAACTCTAGTATTTCTAACCATGGGCAATTATAACTCATCACAAAGATCACCAGCCGATGGAGACTTACAAGGTGGCGAAGAAGAAAAGAATCCTCCTGGGGTCAATGGCCCAGGAGGGAGAAGACCGCCTGAAACTAAATCTCTTGCCGCCACATTTGCTTTCAACGGTGGAGGTCGTGCTGATATTGCCGGTCATGATAGTTATCTGATGATGAACTCCTGGGTTGATGGAATGCTGTGTGGCTCCCTTCGTCATTGCCATGGGCTTTTCAAGTGTGCTAGCCCCAACTACAGCAGCTGAAGTTATAATAATAGCATGCAGGGAATAAAGATAGCATGTGTGTGTTAGCTCCCAGCACCAGTCTTTCGAAATGCACATGTATGGTAGAAACAAAAAGGAACGACAGTCTGTAGTGTGTACTTGTCTACCATATTAATAGAGCCCTGCCCACGATTAGAACCTATTTCTTGGCTACTATTCTAGCATCCCCCCCCCCCCCCCCCCCCCCCCCCCCCCCCCCCACCCCACAACCACTGCCCCATCTCATTTTCCCCCCCCCCCCCCCCCCC